GACGAGCGCCTCGAGGACTTCTACAAGGCCGTGCCCGCGGCCAGGACGATAGACGCCGGCGACATCGAGGAACGCATGCAGCTGAAGGAGAACGCTCAGATGAGGAACATCTAGCAGTACCGCTGCTCGTCCTGGAGCGCCCCTGTCACCTCGGGTGGATTCTCGTCGAAATTCTGGTCAGAACGCACCCGGGAGAGGTCTGGGGAGTAGCGGTATCGGTACTTTTTCGTCCCCCCAAGCGTGGGCAACGTTTTTGCTCCCATTTTTGATAATTCTCTTTGATTTCGGCCTCCAGAGGCCAGTCTCGAGTCTTGGCGCCATCCGAGAACCATCGGCACGGAAAAGCCCCAAGAGAAGGGCCGCGCATCGGAACAAGTCACGACGTCGGGTCCTGGGGAGGTCTCCATGTGAGCCAAAACAATACAGAAGGCGCCAACGGCAAGTCTGTCCCCCGAGATCCGACGTTCCGAAGAAGTTGCAACACTGCAGAAAATCACGACCAGAGCCCTGGACCCCACTTTCTGTGTTTTACCCTTCGTTGTCGGGGGATTTCATGTTGAGCGGAAGGCCCGCATAACCGGGGGCCCGCGGATATCTGATGGGCCTCCCCCAGTTTTTCCCTTATTTTCCCTCTGTCGTCCTCTTGAGGAGCGAGGAGAGTAATGGTTTCCGTGGTAGCACCTTGTGGTTCCCAGCGGCACGGCATAAATGCGCGATGCCGCCTCCTCTCGTTGTCGTCGTCTGCGCTTGATCATTGCTACCGGTAGTAATTGTTTTAATGTTTTGTTTCAAGTGTGTGTGTGTGTGTATATTTACACATATAAAACAACAGAGAGCCTGGCCGCAGTCACATATGAGCCGATGCCTACACAAAATAGGTGTGACACAAATGCCAATGTGCCCTGAAGCCTTGGCCCTCCGCCGAAACACAGCGAAACGCTGCAATGAAAATGCGTAATTCAGTTGGACGGAATTTTGTGTCTAGTGTCTGTTCAAGTTGTTGCAAGCAAAATTGTTACTTCAGTTGACCAAGATTCGCGCCGGGCGCGCCCGCCACCGTTTCCCGCGGCCGCGGGAAAATGCTACAGTAATATTTTGGGGAATCGGTGACATGGAATCGAAGGTTCGCCCAAAAATGCGACCGAATGGCCTCCCGTCGGACTGCAAGGGAGCGGTCGACGAGCAACGGGCTGCCAGCATTCCAGCGCGCATCTCCCGGAAAGGGGAGCGGAAGGCGCATTTTCCGGGCCCTTTTTCCGTCGACGTCCGCTCGCCGACGTCAAATCCGTTGCGAATCCAGCAGACACAACCCATCGTGTGTCACGAATTGTTCATTACGCTCGTTCTGTATGCTTCTCTCTGCGATGTCTTGAGTTTTGTGTGATGTGGTTCATCGTCTCGTTTTTTCGCTGTTGCTTTTCTTATGGGTTTCGCGTGGCAAGCTCTCAACATGCCTTGATTGCCGTTGTGAAGCCCGAAGAACCCCTGACGGTCCGTGGCAAGCCTGAAGCAGCACCGCGGCTTGTCAAGGCTTATGGTTGTCAAGGGTTGAACGCTGACCGATTGGATCTCCGAGTTGACATTGGTTCGGGCGCACGTTCTTACGATGGACAACGCAAGGCTCCCCACTCACACGCACGGATTCTTGACTGTTCGCAACCGAATAGTCGCCATGCCGGCATGGAAACACAAGTGAAGCATTAGCGGTTGCTGACCGGATTTCGGGTCGCACGCCGCGCGTGCATTAGCGCGTAGTGAGTTCTGTGTTGTACGCAACAGGAAGGTGTCCATGTTGGTTTGACAAACTAAAGTAATACAGTTTTAGCGGTGGCTGGATGGATGTTGAAGTGCACATGTGTTCTGATCCACGAAGGAATCCCTACGCACGTGCGCGTGAAGGGTGATATAATGTCCGCGGTTGGGAGAGGTCGCCACGATGGCTTTGGAGCCCAAGTGGCCCCTTAGCGATGACCGACAGTATTTCAGGTGACCCGCGCGGTGGGCGGGTCACCCGCCGCGCGCGCGCGTGGCGAGTTCCGTCATGGTCACGGAAGGGAAGTGGCCATGTCGCTCTTGAAACTAAGTGAACCCCTCGCGGTGGCCGAAAGCATTTCGGGTGACCCGCGCGGTGTGTGGGTCATCCGCTGCGCGCGCGCGTGGCGAGTTCTGCAATGTGCACCGTAGGAAAGTCCTTATTTTGGCTTGGGAACTAAAGTGAATCGATAGCGGTGCTGGATTTGATGTTGAGGTTGGCATGGGATCTTTTGTCCGAAATCCGCACGAGCGCGCGTGAGGAGCTCTGTGTTGGCCACGATGAAAAAGTCGCCATGCTGGCTTGGGAACGCAAGTGGGCTCTTAGCGGTGACCGACATGATTTCGGGTGACCCGCGCGGTGTGTGGGTCACCCGCCGCGCGCGCGGCGAGTTCTGTAATGTTCACAGTAGGAAAGTCGACATGTTGGCCTGGGAGCCGAAATCGACCCGCAGCGGTGACGTCATTGAGGCTGAAGTCAACATGCTTTTCCGCATTCTCGGAGATAGAACCGGCAGCCTGCGCGCGAGACATCTCGAGCGAACTCTTTGCAGTCGCCGAGCGCGCGCGGGTGGCGCGCGCCACCTGCGCGGCGCATGGGGGCCTCGACTTTGTCCACTAACAGTGACTGGCAGCGCGGGTGGCCCTCGTAACGTTGAAGAGCTGCCCCCCCCCCTCATCGCCCATTCCATATCTTCCCCCTCCTTCTCCCCTTCCTTTTCTGTTGACCCCAGGGCCTTGGAGCGCTGGGGCTCGCGCCTTGGGGCGTGGGCCGCGGGGTTTGGAGCTCCGAATGCCTTGGAATTTTGGCCCTTGGGGGGCGGGGCCCGCTCGGGGCGGGGCGGCGCTGCGCCCGCAGTGCGCGGCGCGTTTTCCCGTCTTTCCTGATGCGTGGGGGGGGGGGGGGGGGGGGGGGCGCTCGGGGGCTCGCCTGGCAGTCGTTTGTCGGATGGCCCCCCCTGCGCGGCCCGCCTGTCCAGGGGGTGCCCGCGCCCGGGAACGCGCGCCGGGGCCGCCCGCGTCGGGGCCTCGGGAACGCGCGCGTGGATTTGCATGAAGCTGCGAAAAGAGCACCCAAGTGTAGAAATTCGAAAACAAGTGCAGCAACCCAAAAACGAGGCCAAGCGTAGCAGGCCGAAGCCGCGGCCATCTGCAGCAACCAGACACGAGGCCACGTGTAGCAATTCAAGACCGGTCACATGCACGAGCCAAAAGTCGAGTCCAGCGTAGCAAATCGAAAGGCGCGGCCAACTGTAGCAACCAATTAACGAGGCCAAGTGTAGAAACGAGAACCACGCACGTCCATCACAGCGCTGAATATGTGACTTCTGGGCGCGCAGCCTCGGGCCACGACGCGGGCTTGCCCGGGGCCATTCCGTCGCCTTCCCCCCTCCCCCCCCCTCTCCTCCGCCTTGTTTTCCCTCGTCGTCGTCGTCGGCGGCGTCGTTGCCGTCGTCGTCGTCGTCGTCGCCGGCCCCCCCGCCCCCTCCTTTCTTCTCTCGGGGCGGGGCGGGGGGGGGGGTGCGGAAGAGGAGGAGGTGAAGAGACGGCTGTTTTTTGTCCTTGCATGGATCGCGCGCGTTGCGAGTAGCCGTTGCTGGGCGCGGTCGAAATCTCAGCGCGCCTGGCGGGTGGCGCGCGCGCCCAGACGCGCCCGGCGACCGCCGGGGGTTCGCTTCGACGCTTTTCGGAAGCAGGATGTATTTTCCTATATTGGGGAATTTGTTTTAAACACGCGAACGGCAAAGTCAAATAGGCCACCACTAAGGGTTCACATTAAGTTCCCGGGCCAACATGGAGACTTTCTTATTGTGGGCGTCGCAGAATTCGCCGCGCGGATCGCCCGAGATCGTGTCATCCACCGCTTAGAGTCCATTTGCGTTCCCAGGCCAGTGTGGCGACTTTTCCATCGTGGACGCGAAATTCACGCGCGCGTGCAGTTTTGTCGCCAGCGCTCATGCCAACTTCAACGTCAAATTCATCCCCGCTAAGTGTTCTTCATTTTCCAAGCCAACATGGCGACTTTCCGATTGTGGAACACACAGAACTCGCCACGCGATCGCGCGCGCGTCGCGTGGCCCACCCGCCGCGCGGGTCATTCGAAATCGTGCCGGTCACCGCTGAGTGTTCCCCTGAGTGACCAGGGCGACGCGGCGACTTTCCTACCGTGGACATTTCGGGGCTCGCCAGGCCTGCGCGCAGGCGCGGCGGGTGGCCCGCCCGCCGCGCGGGTCACCCGAAATCCTGTCGGTCACCGCTAACATGCCACTTGGATTACCCAGCCAGCATGGCGACCTTCCGACCTTGCGTAGGGGATTTCTTCATGGATCACGTGTGGAACCGTGCGCAAGAACCCACGTACACTTCAACCTCACTTCCGTCACCGCTAAAGGTTCACTTGAGTTTCCAGGTCAGCATGGCGACTTTCCGATTGGACGACGCAGAACTTGCCGGGAGCTCGCGCGCGCGACGGGTGGCCCGCCCGCCGCGCGGGTCACCCGAAATTTGGTCGGCCATCGCTAGACGTTCACATTAATTCCCGCACCGTCATGGCGATTAGTCGATCGTGCGCGCTGCAGAACTCCGCGCGCGCGGCGAGCCCTGTAGCGTCCACCGTTGGACATTTCGTTCAAACCAATGTTAACATGGAGATCCCATCGGTCAGCGTTCAACCTTTGACAACAGCCGTAAGCCTTGATCGGCCCCGACGCTGCTTATGGCTTGCCAAAGGCTGCCAAGCGTTACCTAGGCTTGACGAGGGCTACCAGACCTTGCCACGGTCTGGTCGCGCGCTGTTTCTGAGAAGAAGTAAGGACAGTTAATGAAGCAAAACAAGACCATGAACCATGACAGGTTGGGGAACCACCACCTCACCTGCGCAACTTACCGAGCGGAATCCAAAGTCGAGTATCGTTTCCAGTGCCACCGCTGCGACGATGGCAAGGTGCGCGTCGCCTTGTACACCGTCGATGGGGAGCTGCGACTTCACTTGTGCCGCCAAAGGAGAGCAGTCCAACATCGTGCACGTCGCTGAGTACCGCGGCTGCGTCGACGGCAACGCGCGCATCTTCTTGCACTTTCGTTCCGCGCAGTTCGCGCGCAGAAGGGGCCCCCTAGAAGTCGCAGCTGGAGGGCCTGACGGCGGAGCGCGAGCCGCGCGCGAAGCTCATGGGCGAGGCGCGGGGGGACACTCAACGATGACGCTGCCAACGTCGCTGGAGCGGAGCAGTGCCGCGAGCGGCGCTGCGACGAGCCCTTCCCCGACATCGTGCGCCGCGACGCGCGCAGTTCCACGCGATGCGCTACGACGAGCCCTTCGCCAAGACTACGCGCTGCAGAGTAGAACGGTACCGCGGGAGGCGCTGCGACAAGCCCCACGTCGACATCATGCGCCGCGGAGTGGAGAAGTCCCGCAGGAGGCACTGCGACGAGCCCTTCGCCGACGCCATGCACGGCAGAGCGGGGCTGTGCCACAGGGGGCGCTGCGACGAGCCCCATCGCCAACATCACGCGCTACGGGTCGGGGCCAAGTCTTAAAAGACTCAGGGCAGGGGCGCGCCGAAGGGCGCGCGCCGCCAGTCCCAGCAGCTTCTGTCTTCGCTTCTAGGACAGACCGCCCAGCAGCTGCCGACTCGGGGTCGGCAGGGCTCGCGAAGCCAGTCTCAGAAGACTCAGAGCTGGAGCGCGCCGCAGGGCGCGCGCCGCCAGTCCTGGAAGACTCAGAGCTGGAGCAGGCCACAGGGCGTGGGCCGCCAGTCTCAGCAGCTGCTGTCATCTTTCCTGGGCTAGCCGGCTTGAGGGCGGCAGGGCGTGCGTCGCCAGCTTCAGCAGACTCAGAGCAGGAGCATGTCGCAGGGCGTGCGCCGCCAGTCCTAGAAGACTCAGAGCTGGAGCATGCCGTAGGGCGCGCGCCGCCTGTCTCAGCTGTTTCTGTTTTCTTGCCTGGGCCAGCAGACTCGGGGTCGGCATGGCTGGCGCAGCCAGACTCCTTGCATATTCTTTCCTTGCGACTGGGTCAGGCGGCCCAGCAGCTGCCGATTCGGGGTCGGCCCATCTTGAAGGGCCCGAGGGCCCACGCGACCAGCTGTCGAATCCGAGAGCAATACAGATGCAAGCATGATTCCCCCCTGAAAGAATTCGCTGTGATTGGCCTCGCGACGGGGCTTGCATGGCCAGCCTGAGCCACGGTCTCTTCTCCAACCTCCGATCCCCCCAGCGCTCAGCATGCAACGCGGGCATCGCCAGCTGTCTACGGTTTTCCCTGGACCGCGCGCGCGCGTGTGCAGCGCCCCGTGAAGCACGGCCCCTAGCAAGCTCTGTAGGGAGCAATCGAGCTCCCTGCGACGGATCATTCGGTCCTGATGTCGGGAAAAAATCGTCGTCATCATCGCCGCCATCGTCGTTGCCATCATCATCGCCATCGTCACCATCACAATCATCGTCATCACCATAGCCAGCGTTACCTCGCCATCATCGCCGTCGCCATTGCCGAAATCAACATCATGTACCATCGGCATCGCCCGCCGCGTCATGGGCGCCCGCGCGGGGCCTCACTAGGATGAAGATCCGAAGGTTCAGATGGATGGCAAGGAGGGAGAGGGCCTCTCGGAGAGAAGGGCCTCTGGAGTTTGGATCGGGAGGGGGCCGACGCCCCCTGGAGATTAGCCGGAAGCCCGGATTGGAACACCAGCCACAGCGGCACCTACGGGTGCAGAAGTTCGGCGCGCTTATCATCGCCACCCTCGCTCATTGCCGTCCGCCATCGCCATTCGGGCCCAGGCGTGAAACCCCGAGAAGACGAGCTCCGAAAATTTCACGGCGCGAGGAAGTCAATGCCCCATGCCGCCCAGTCAGCACTGGCTCACTTAATATCTCGAGCCGTTGATCTGCCCGAAGCGCGCTTGACCAAGGATATACGTGATGCCCGAGATTTGGATGCAAGCGTTGCAACTCCCTATGGCCCTCTTTTGACGCAGGTGTTGGGCACGGAACGTGCGAGTCCTCTTCCTCCTGCTCCTCGCCCTGTCAGGCCCCCCCCCCTCCCTCTCCGCGCCCCTCCCCCCCCCCCGTGCCCCTCCTCGCCCCGCTGCCCCCCCTCGTCCAAGCCCAGCAGGTTTTGCTTCGCAGGCGCGCTGGGAACGAGGCGGGGCTGACGACTGCGAACCCTGTTCCCGTGATGTTTGAGGCTGCGAAGCGCGGCCGATTCGCAGCGCCCCTGAAAACGACGTTCGGCCGACGCCAGTGCAGCGACGCACCCCCGCGGAGTTTTTATATTGCACTATGACCGGGCGAAGCCTGCACATGCAGTGGAGCAGCGAAACAATCGCGCGCTGGTAGCATGTCTGGAATCTGGCGCGCCAGCGCTATCTGAGGACGGTTTCTGGCCACCAAGCGCCGCAGTCAAGGCCGCCGAGGTTTCGGGTTGCGAAGCGGGTGCGGCGCAATCGGTCGGCGTTTTTTTTTTTTTGGATCTACTAATAATAGTTTCAAACCAAAAAGGAGCTTCGGCCCGTCGGACCATGACTTACGACGCTCGGGGGCGCGCTTGGACCTGACTGATGGCAGTGGCATGGAGATATGGGCAAACCTCGCCGTCGCGCTCGCTGGCGAGGCAGCGCTGCACAGCATATAGTACAACAAAGGTTCGAGCGGTGTCCAATGTCGCCCCGTCTGCCGTGCCATTTGCAGCAAAAACTGGCAGGGCTCCGTGCGTGAAGTCCGCCTGGCTCAGGCATCGGCGCGCTGACTTGGTGCATTGCTCGCTGCGCAGTGCCCGGGAAAATAACCTCTACCGACGGACCCCATACAGGAACGGCCCCTCGGCCGTCTCCCTGTATACACTGGTTATCATCCTTTTCTCATCCGCTCTTTGTTGTTGGAAATCGCATCATCCTGGATTCCGCCGCGCGGCGTCGCAACCTCGATGTGCCGCCTTCAAGCGCGCGTTCTCCTCGACTGCGCATGCCAGCAATAGCATCATGGAGAGAGCACTAGAATCTGCGATGCCCATCTCCCCCCTCGCAGGTGACGGCAGCGCTGCGTCTCTTGCGGCGGCCCTCGGTAAATTCTTACCCGGTTATCCGATGCGTCCGCCGCCCCCCCCCCCCCCCCCCCCCCTCACACGCCGCGACCTTCGCGACAGTGGCTGGATTCGCCTCCCGCGGAGCCTGATGCATCCGACCCGTCGGCGGCTACACCCGCAGTTGTCCCGCCCATCGTCGGCGTTGAAGCTGGATTATCTACGCCCACTGTCTCACCTCCCACGTTCGCTGACCACAGCGTCGGTCGTGACCGCCGCTGGGCCAAGAGCATGCGCGGGCCATAGAGAATCGCACTGGCCGACCGTCCCAGCGACAGGCCCCAGAGAGGCATCACATTCGTTCCTTCATTCGAGACGCCAGCCGCAGCCCCCCACAACGGCGCTCCCGGCATGGCTCTCAGGCGCGCAACTTTGCCGCGCAATCTTCTCCAACCGTCAGCGATCTGGCGGAGCTTCGAGACCAGGTTGAAACTTGCACTTATCGGGCCTGGCCGCGCAGACGGCCACCATGGGACACGAGCTTCAGCAAGCTCTTGCCGTGGTCGGTGCTACGATCGCAGAAGATCGATCGATCATCTCTCAGGTCCAATTCCAGGTCGACCAGATGGAGTCACACCGGGGCGTCGACTCTAGCACGATCCAGACGCTTCACGACTACCTACTACGGATGGAGGCACAATTTGCGACCGTCAGGGCTACTGGGGCTGCTGCTGTCAAGGCGCTACACGACGAGCTTCTGATGGCACGGCAGACCCCACCTATGGAGGTACATGGATCTACGGACTCCCAGCTACGCGATGATTTGGATACGTTTCGCACTCAGGTCCAACAGCGAGCTGCCACGATGCACTCCGCCCACGCCACCCTCGCGTCTGAGTAAGATAGTATGTTGCGTGGTGCCGAGACGACGGCCCTCACTCACCTCCCTGAAGTTTTCGAAGGGCGCGCGCCAACGCTTGAGAGCCGAGTCTCCCAGGTCGAGAGCAGATCCCAAAGCTTCGGACTGCGCTGGCTGAGTTGCATGTTGCACGGGCCCAGACTGATCAGCTGGACACCCCGACTTCGGTTTGCGATTTCGCTTCCCTCGACGCCCGCATGGCCGAGGCACAGCAGGCGGCGGACCACATGCAGTTGCGACTCACCCAGATCTCCCGGGTAAATGTCGCTGAGAAAGCACGGGCTGACTCACTGCCCACCCGACTGGAACAAGAGCGCGAGGCACACAACCCACGATTCCAAGACCTCGAGCGCAGGCTGGACAGGTACTCCCAGCGGACCCACGATACCAACGTCGAGATACGTGGTCTCCAACAGAGTGTCCAATGACTGCAGACCGCCGTTACGTCCAACGAGGCTACGCTTACCTCGCACGTCAGCAACGCAGAGCTCCACCACCAACCTCCAGACCATCGCCAAGCTCCTACGCCTGCCGATGTGGACATCCGCGCAGACCGCGCGCGACGCATCTCACCGGGAGCCGCTTTAGCCGCGTCCTCTGCTCAGGCAGGCACGCCGCGTTTCTCCTGTGCGAGATCCTTCTCCACCACAACCGGTTCCATCGCAGACGCTGCCGCGCGTCTTTGCCACCGCCACTACTCCTTTTAAGGTGCCCGACACCGTGCGTATACCACAACTGCCACGCACTACCCAACTACAGGAGTGGCAACATACGGTTCGCAACAACTTTCGCAGCGCATCTGGGCGCCCTGCCATGGCTTGCGCAGTCCCTTGTTTTGCAGAACAACCTACAACAACCTGCGACGACCTCCAGGACAGCGGCGACTACGAGAGCATCGACTGCACACTCGCAGTTTGGCTAGCTGCTGTCCTCTACTCTGAGCTCCGATACCGCATCAAGAACCTCACGGCTCAGGAGCACAAGGCCGGCCGCATGCTCAAAGGCAGGCGAATCTATTGGACGATATTGCAGGCAGTCCTACAGAGTCACGCCAGCGGACGACACTCTGCACGACAACGAACGCCTGCAACCATTACGCATGCGGGACGACGACCTCCAACGGTTCATCGTCGATTGGGACAATATGTTTTTGGATTGCTGCGAACCACCTGTCAAGATAATACTGGAGTCACTACTCCGCTCGCAGATCCGATTGTAATTTTTCTTGATGAAACAGGACATGCACGACTACAACCAGATGACTCCAAACAACCCCAACAAAACGCACGAGTGGCTTCGACAACGAGTTCTTGACGACCTCGATTTCCACCGACTTGAGCGCAACCAATACAACCTCAATGACGAGTCCAGCAGGCGCGACAAAATGCTCCACACGGGCTCCACGACCTCCTACGTCCTCCACCCGTGACTACCGTGACAGACGATTTTCTGCTGGTCGCTCCACCGGACCAACGACGAAAGACAAACCTCGACATAATTTTCGCTTTCGCCAAGACAGGATCCTGTCCCAGGAAAGAGCGTTGGACCTACCCCCATATACTGGCCTGGCACCTGATACGCAGACCCACAGCAGACTTGCAAGCGCGGCGACCGCTGCTGCAATGCCAACATCAACCCCAACACTAAGACTCCTGACAGGAGCACTGCTCGGCGACGCAGCAAAGACAGCCACGCATTGGGACGGCGAATCCTTACACAACAACCCGCCATGTTGATCAATCTGTGATAGATACAGTTAGGAAAAAAGTAGTCTTCCAATATCGGAAAATAGAAATAATAGATTTAATGTGGAAAGTAGTTCCAAAGTGGTGTCAAATAGGAAATTATTTCCCCAACGTAAACATAACATTTCGATGTCAATTTGCGGGTTGATCAGGGCGCGCGCTGCAAATTTGTCGCATTGCAACCATCATTGCCGCGGCCGTCCTGGGCGCGCTGCGCTGTGCCGCATTGCTTGAGGTTCGCAGTCACGGGGCCGCGCTGCGCGAAACAAGCGCGTGGTCTCGGGGGCCATAGATGCAGGGTCGCAGCGCCGGCGTCTTCTTGCAGTCTACGGGGCGGCCCGCGGACTCCGCGGCGCGCGGCGCCGGTTGCAGCTTCTTGACCGGGGCCGAGCAGGTGGCGGGGCCCCGCCCGCCAGGCCAGCGCGCAGCGAAGATCGGTGAACTTGGGCCCTCGCGCGGGGGCGGAGAAATTATTTCGCATTTCGGGGCGCCTCTCGGGCCCGCCAGGCGGCCGCCGGGGCCCTCTGGGGGGGCGTCGCCGCCCGCCGGCGGCCGGCCGGGTGGGCCTCCGGCGGGCCCGGGGCCCGCCAGAGGCGGCGCGGCCGGCCCAGATTTGCGCGCGCCGGCGCGGCCCGGGCCCGGATTTGCCAAACGCGCCGGCGCGGCCGGGCCCAAATTTGCGCGCGCCGGCGCGGCTGGGGCCAGATATGCAAAACGCGCCGGCTCAGCCGGGCTCGCATTTGCAGCGCGCGACGGCGCGGCCCCGCGTGAAATCATAATAATGCGCGCCAGCGCGTTGCCCAGGTTCGCAAAGCGCGCAGGCGCCGATTGGCCCAGAACTCCCGCGCGCGGCGCCTTCGGGCGCCAGCGGGCCGCCGGAGGGGGGGTAAAAAACACAGAAGGTATTTTAAAGTTACTTGAGAGTTACTTTACAGTTACTTCAAAGCTACTTTAAAGCTATCTCCCGGGACGCCCGCGGGCCCCCGTGGGGGTGAGCTTAAAAGAATTATTCCCCGGAGCTAAACGAGCTAATTACTTGGAAGCTACCCGGGAGCTCAATGGGATCCGGGCGGTGCGGGAGAGAAACGAAGACCACCTACGCCATTTCACGTCATGTCTCGGCCCGACTAACGGTCTTGCGGCGGCGGCTGCGCGGGGCAGACATCAGATGGTGCAGTCGTGCCTGGTGTTACGCGAACCTTTGTTTCGCCATTGCTGCCCGGGCGGTCTGGCGCGGGGCGGCGACGCGAAAAAGGAAGGCGTCGCCGCCCTTCGCCGCCTGACCGCGCACAGGCCACGGAGGAACGCGCGCGGTTCCAGCTGCGCTTCAGATGATTGGCATCGCTCCCTCCTTCTTTGCCCGCGAAGGCCAAATGGGACACGGGTGCCTCGTCCGCGTCGGCGAACTTTGATGCTGCACCTGCGTTGGCTCAAGTCGATGCGCCGCCCGCGACGGCGAGGGCTGCCGCTGCCGAGGTCCAAGCTGAGCCTGCGCGCCCCCTGAACCAGCGCCACCGCCCCACAAGCAGCGGCCACCAATGCCGGCCATAGCCGCAGCCCAGGCAACGACCCCGCGGCGAGCAGCGCCTGCAAAAATCGTGGCTGGGTTTGAACTTCTTCCTTTCCGCGTGAGCCATGGGGGCGGCGCCTGCGAACCACGCCACCGCTTCAACTGTCCACGGTGGAGTGGGCCAGTGCTGACCGCGCTCTCTTCAAAGATGCCTCTGGGGAGCTTGGCGACTTCCGACCGACGACCCAGTGGCATTCCGGTTGCGGGCGGAAGTGCATTTTGACAGGCTTTTTTGATAAGCGAATGACTTTCCCCCTGGCCTCTCGAAGAGGATGCGGCAATCGGCCAAGCACCGCGGCGCGTGGATTCCGCATTCTTGCCAGCGACATCGTCCTTGAGACCCGCAAGTGGTTTTGTAGGCGGTGGAGACAGTGACCTGCGTTGCATGCGCATGCGAGCTCAAAGCTCAAAGGATGGCCATGCAGTTACTTTGATTGGATTCAGTGGGTCAGTGGTTCCATGGCAGTTTCGACCCACGAGGCGAATGCCCGTTTCGACGTGCTCGTTGTTGATAGTGTAACATGTTGCCAGGGTCCATTTGACCCCGCGGGACGAGGCGGGACTCGTTCCAGCCAAGGCGCGCGCGTCGGCGACAGTTGACGCCGCCTGCCCTCGCGCAGACGATGCAGCATACATCTTTTTGGAAACGACGTTTCAGATGAGGGCTCGTTCCAGGCAGGTCAGCGAGCATATTGAAGCAGGGATTTATGCCAGGCGGTCGGACTAGGAAGCGGCGAATGACGTTCTTATTTGGCAATTTGCCGAGTCCGCTCCGCGGCCCTCCCTGCATGGGTCTGCGTGGACGTCCAGAAGGCCGGCGACTCAGGCCATTATATCTGGCTCGGGCAGCAAGGGGCCACCATGGAGGCGAAGGCCAAGCCGCCTGCATGTTTTTGCGCGTTGCGCGGGATGACGCACTTACCGCATTAATGCAGCCGCCCCGCATGGTGGCGATATGGTGAGAGCCTCCGCCCCACGGGATCCTTGCTCGCACGTGGGGGGGCCAGCGCGGGCCGATTCGCCGCCAGCTCCGCCCGCAGATTCCCAGGCTGCATCAGCGAAAGCAGATGCGTCTTATCACGTCGCGTCGGCTAAGCTGATGCACCGTTGCACGCCAAGTCGGCGGAAGCCGACGCGCCTCCTGCCGCCGCGTCAGCGCAGGGCGGCACCGATGCGGACCTCGATGTGCATGATCGCCAGGGCCCTTGAAAAAATGTGTGTATATATATATATATATATATACATTCGGGGGCAAGGAGGTCGCGCGAATGGACGTCGCGCGCGGTGGGCTCCATCAGCCGGCCACGGGGCTTATTGATGCCGTGCAGAAGAGCATGCAACCTTCAGCCAACGCGGCGATCACTACTCCTGAGGTCCTTCCGCTCGCAAGTTGGACTGGGTTCATTCGAGCCCGCCTACTGGGGTCGGACAGCGCCCACCTTATGGCTGCTGGGCAGGGCCCGCAGCCCCCCCGAAACAGTCTGGACCGCCGCGTGCCTCCAAGCGAAGCTCCGCGTGCACAGTTCAACGGACGCGGCTGGACAGGCTCCCCGGGACCTGGAGAAGCTCCGTTCACTGCTTGCCACGAGGTCAATCTGGGATCCGGGAGCGGGTGTTCGAGGCGTGCTCCGAGAGTTGGGAACACTCATGTTGGAGAGGTTAGGTTGGGCGGGTCCGTCGGCCAGAGGCACCTGCGTTGCCATCAGCATGTGCAGAGCATCTTTGGCAGGGGCGCCCTGTCACAAGGGCGGTCGCTCGAGTTGGTATCCCGCCAGTGGCAGACCTTCCTGATCTGATTTGCGCGAGACGTCCTGAGTCAATTCTGCTGTGTCAGGTACGCCTATTCAGTCTTCGGCGACAATAGGTGCCAACTCGGAAGACGAGCACGTGGCGGGCGCAGTTCTTCCGGGAGAAGTGCAGAAGGTACAACATCTGATTCTGCGGTGGGGCACTTACCTGTTTCCCACGCCTGCTTCCAGAAACGGCGAGCGTCCGTTTCTGGAGCCCGAGAAGACGCACCCTGGCATTGAGGAGGTGGCGTCGGCGGAAGAGGATGCCGAGTTCGCGTCGGCGCCAGCCGGAGTCCTCGAAATCCCCCTTGTGGATGATGCAAACTTCCTACCATGATGGGGCGCCTCCTGAGGCAAAGACGACGCGACGTTCTCAAAACGCGAAGCGAAGCATCGGCAAATCGAAGGAGCGTTTTTGCAGCAGGGGGGATTCGGAATAGATGACTCCGGCCCCGTTGCCGCGCATTCTTCGCGCGCAGGAATGCGCGGCGCCGGGGCGACCTCGTCACAACTGCCGCTGAACATATCTCTGAGGCCGCTTATGAGGGGGAGCCTTTCAGCAGCCCGCCAACTCCTTGTGCCCGAGGTGCAAGTTCAAGCTGCCTGCTGGTCTCAGCGACAAAGGCGCGAACGTTGTTTGTCCGGAGTGTCTCACCTCTGCGAGAGACGGCGCGGGCGGTCATGATTTTGGCCGGGGTCGCGTTCGCGAGGCCATGGGCGCCCGGGCGCCAGGTTTTTTTTTCTTTCGATTCTGAGGAGTGCGAACATCTTGTCATTCGGGGAGAAGGGCCTAACAGTTTCAAAGCGATCATAACGTTTGGTGATGAAGCGCCGTGCCGAAACCAAGTCTTGCGCCTCGCTGGCTGCTCGGCGATGTCGGAGGCGATGTTCGGCAGGGGTCGACCCCGGCAGAAAATTGCTCTAACGCACACCAGACGTCAGACCGACCCAGGGATCGACACTTGCCCGTTTGGGTCGATGCGCGTGGCACCCAAGCAGTTGATCACACCCCTCCCCATCTCGCGGGGCCAAACGCTCGGCGGAATGCCCTGCGCAATGAGTCAATGCCGCAGCGCGTTGCTCAGGGGCATATCGCGCGAATCGCTATGGTGAAGGCTCGTGGGAAAAAGCCCCGTCGGCGCGACAGGCAGCCAATTTGGCAAAGGGCGCTGCACCTACCAACATGCACCTGCCTACAGCAGACGCGGCCCAGCCGAGTCGCGCGCTTGGCCAGTCGCCGCAGCCGCCACCCGTTTAGCAGAGGGCGTCGTCCCGCGCGCCTTGGAAGAGCGACGAGCCGATTGCCAAGGGTGCATCACCGCCCGCTAGGGCTGGTGGAAGTGATCTTGCGGCGGCGAAAGCGGTACGCCGGTTCTAGCGAAGGTCGGTGCTGAGCCTGCTTGGCGTGGCCCGAACGCCTCTAGGTGCACCCTGGATCACGCATTCGAATCACCGAGGATCGTATTCTAGGGTCTACAGGGGTCTTTCCATCCTCCAATAGAGTCGGCAGCTGACCACCAAAGGAATCGCGCCCCCCGCTCAGCTACGCCGAACGATTGAGCCTGTCCACGAGTCTATGTCGTGGTCAGCGCAGCGCGGAGAGCACGATTCGCAGGCGCGGACCCCCACATGGCACCCGCAGTTGTTGGGTCTCTAGGATCGCGCCGATGCAAAGAAATGGGGGCGGTTGCGGCCTCTTGCTCAGGATATCCTGCAGCCGCGACCTAGCCCGCGAGGCGCGCATACCTGGAGAGCGAGCGCCCGCGGGAAAATCCATCAACCCCCATGCTGGGGAAACGATCAGGGGAATAACGAGTGGAACGCAACGGGTAGTTGGGGTCGTGGCAGACGGACTCGCGATGGTGAAAGCCGTCGCTGCGCGTCGGCGCAAGCTGGCGCCCGTCCCACTGTCTGCGTTTCAATCCCTCCATCCTCCCCTTCTTGCACCCTCGTGCTTCTGCGGGGCGATGGAAGTCAAGTCCATCGCCCCCCGTTCTGTTTGGACCAGTTCCGCGACTACTCGGAACTTGTCGTATTTTCAATGACAAGTTTTTGCGCTATGTCTTCTAAGTTTGGGGCGGGGCGCGGCCGCCGCGCCTGCTCAGGAGGTCGGGCGTCTCTTTATGCTCCCCCCCTCCCATGAAGAGTTGCGCGTAGGTATTACCCTTTTTCGTTTTCTCGGACCGCCTGCTAAGGGTTTTTAGGTGCGGTGCGTGTGTGTTTACTTGTCCTTGCCGGCGCAATTCATGTCGAATCGTTGCCCGGCATGGATTTCGGGGGCCCGCGGGTCTCTCCTGGGTCTCCCCCGCGCCTTCCCTTGCTTTGTCTGTTCCGTTTTCCTCAGGAACGATGAAAGAAGTGTTTATCCGACGTAAATCGCTCGCGAAAGTTGTCGCCTCCTCTCGTCGTCGCCGTCTGCGTCTGTTCATTCCTAGCGGCGATACCTGCTTATAAAAGGAGTTCGGCCGCCTTCGTGGGCGAGCCAGGACTTATCCATGGAAAGGTATTGGGTCCAAAGGCCATTCTATCCCAAATTCCATTATCCTTGTATTTTTTGGAGCGCGCATCAATGTGCGATGCCCCCAGGGCCCGACGCGCGGCGACGACGCGCGGTGTGAAATAATGGTGGCGCCGGGATCTCAGGGTTTTGGATCTTTGCAGGAGAGCTTGGGTTGCAAGTCGATGAGCTGGTACGTGGAGAACGTTTACCCCGAGCTCGAGCGGAAACAGCCACGCAGGCGCTGAGCGCCTCCATCTTGCTTCGGACGGGGGCAGTCCCGCGGCGTTGACGAGTCGCCGCGGCCCGTTCCCCTTGCCAGGGGTACCTCGCCCACGACGCCCAGGGAAACCGCGCGAACGCCGCCTTCTCAGCTCCAGCCTTGCCTCTATCCCTGTTGCCCCCCCTCATCCCCCTCCCCCCCATCCACCCACATCTCCCCGCTTGCGCTGTTCCTCTTTTTTACTCTGTCGTCGTCCTTCCTCTTCCCCTCCATCCTCCCCTCTTGCCCCGCCTCCCCTGTTCTCGTCCTCTCCCCACCCTTCCTCCCCATCCTTCCTCCCAGAGGGACGGGGGGGGGCCCCTGGGGAGAGGAAGGGACGGAGGGGAGAGGGGCTAGCGAAGAATGCTCGACCGGCAGTGGGCTCCAGGGCGTCCTCCCCGCTCGAGCGGGGGCCAGCCGCGGGGGTGCGCGCGCGTGCGCGCGAAGCGGCGCGGCAGGGCCGGGGCCCGCTGAACACGAAGAGGGCCCCGCGGCTGAAGAAGGGGTGCGCGCCGCAGGGGACGGCTGGCCTGGGGGAGGGGGACCCGAGTGCGCCAGAAGCGGGGGCGGCGGAGGCCCTCTCCCTCCTCGGCACTCTGTCCTGATCTGGGCGTTGCGTTTTTCTCTCCTCAGCCCCGGGAGTTCTCGCACGGGTTCGGGCCTTGGTTTGGTGCAGCTCGAGGAATGTCACAGAAAGAAGGGCCTGTAGGCTTCTGGGCGTGACTTTTGCGCGGTGTGCAGAAGAGAGTGTCGTGAGGGTGGTGGCTTTCAAAGACAGCAAGATGCTTCTCAGAAGCCCTCCTGCCTCAGCCTCAGCATCTGCGTGTCTATCCTCATCCCCACTGGGCCATGGTATCTTAGCCCCGCCAACCCACCCTCCTAGATGAGGATAGGTCCCACGAGACCCGTGCGGAACAGCAGCACATATCGCCACTTCGACCAGAGGCGCCAAGGCCACGCCAGTGGCAATGGGGATTTGTTGAAGGTCCCCTTGACGAGGCGTTCACGGCCGCCTCAGAAGGCGCCCGTTCACCCCACCCCTGCTGACGCGCCGCTGGCGCTCATCTCCCCCTGTCGCTGCTTCTTGGGCGCCCTCCTCCTCCTCCTCCTTCTCCTCCTCCTTCTCCTCCTCCTCCTCCACCTCCATCTCCTTCTCCTCCCCCCTCGTTCTCCTCTTCTCCTCCTCCTCATTCCCACCCTCCTCCACCTCTTCCTCCTCCTCCTGCTGCGAACCACGCCCGTTCTGCTGGGGGGTGCCGTCGGCTGTCGGGATCAATGCTAACCGCGCCGCGAATCCGTTGGGTTTGGTGTTGCGCCTCCGATGGCTGGCAGCAAGATCTCAGGATCAGGTTCTCATGCTATCCGAATCTGGTCTTGATAGTTGTCCGCGTTTCCTGGATCCCGAGGCCCTGACACGGCCCCAGGACTGCCAATTGATTGTTCGCGATGAGATATCGGTCCCTGGGAAAGCCCCTTGGTCTAGACCAACTTCCCTCAGGATTCGCCTCTTTCATGCCAAACGTGTTGTTGCCTATGGTGTTGATAGTTCCGATAGTCGTGGTGCTGTTCAGGGATAGCGTAGTGGCTGTAGGCGCCGATTTCGAAGCTCACAATTCCCTACAGGCTGTAGGCTGTAGGGAATTGTGAGAGCTGCAGAGCTGAAATGATATGCGTAGTGCGTTGAGCCTCCCCCTTGTCATGTCCCTACCCCATGGGCAGGTACGGAGCGATTGGCCTGGGAAGGCACACCAAGAAGGGTTTCTTCCACATCAATCCGATGCTGTTCCCCATGCTCAAGGCCAGGGTGAGGAGGAAGGATACAGAGGTTCAGCTTGTTCTAGAACCGTCTGGTGTATGCTCTGAACAACGGGAGAGAGCACCTCATATGAATGGACTCGCGTCAAGGATGGAGGCCTAGCAGACTATGTCAGCGCGAAAGAAGATCGCGACATTGCGGGAGATTCCACGCCGCAAAGCAAAGTTGGACGGAGCGGCGGGACATATCGGTTTCATGTTTCATTCCGTCGTAACCTGGTCACACAGGAGTGTGTGTTCCTCTCATCCTCGTCTTCAGAGACCAGAGACAAGAGTTGGACCTCTTCAGGGATGCGTTTTGACAATGTTTTCGAGGTGGACTCAGCCGCGGCGACGAGAACCCCTTCCCAGAGGTCCGAAAGGGTAGACGAGCGGATGGGGGTGACTCGACCCTGGATCCGCGGACTCATCGCCACGCCCAGGGCCACCATTCCCCGTGCGAGCAGCTGGCTGAGCTCGGGTCCACGGCGCAAACGGCGCGTCGTCATTCCTTCCCTCTGTGCTCTCACTTCCTGCGCTCGAGCGGGGGCCGGGCACACGGGGCGCGTCCGAGGGAGGACGGAGGTGGAAGGGAGGGAGGAGATCGGGATTCGAGGTTCCAGATGTGCAGGCGATTGTCGCAATTCGCCTGGCAGCTCCGACCTGAACGCGCCTCTGGGACAAGCCCTGGAGTCCACAGCGCTCTCCCCGAGAGTGCCCAGGCGCCCGGGCCGGGGCGCTTGGCAGGGAGCAGCTGGAGGGCTCCACTGCCGCCTTCGTCCCCTGCTCCTCCCGCCTCCGCCTCCTCCTTCCCGCCTCCCCCTCCCGCGTCCAGCCTCCGCCTCTGACTTCGGCTGGGAGTACGAGCACGACCTCCATCATTCAGGCGATCGCAAACATGGATCGAGGGGGCGTGGATTAGCGACGGGTCCCGTTTCCATGGGGAGCCGCGGATTGCCGCCGCTGAGCGAGGCGGCACCGGCCGCATTTTCGGGAGGGCACCTCCCCCGATCCATGGATCAGGCGACAGCGCGCCAAATCCATGGATCGCTAATCCAAGTTTGCGCGCCCCCGAATCATCCGAAAACGGCAGGGCGCCCGATCCGACGTCTACGACGACCCCTCCCTGCGGCCGTCGGATGGCCCCTGCGGGCCCTCGGAGTCCCGCAGGCGGGCCCCCGCTACGGCGCGAGGGGCCTTGGACCTTCGTCCCTCGGAAAGGGGGCCGCGAGATGCCGATCCTGCTTCGGCACCCGCCCTGCCGACCGCCCGGCCTCGCCTTGCCTCCTCTCCCCCCCTCCATCCGCCTCCACTTCCTCCCTCCTTCCTTCTCTCTCCCTCCTCCCCTCGAGCTGAAAGGTATTTTACCATCGCCACCGCAATCCAATGAGGACGCCCCGGCGGCAAGCTGACCACCGCACCAGGGCCTCACACCTTGACCCAGCGGTGGAGGTGGCCTAACGCCTCTCGACTACTGCGCCGATCCGAAAGTTTCCCCAATCTCGCCACCGTGTTAGCCGGGGCCATCTGGGATGGCGCGCGCAGGATAAGACTCGCGGGGCCCGAGGGCGGACGGGGGCGATGTCGCGAGGGCAGAGTCGGCGCGCCAATGGGCAGCTCGGCACCCCGTTTGGCCGGAGGGGCCAGTACAATGCAAGGGCAGAGCCTGACCCCCGCCCGGGGTCGCGGGATCGGGCTTCCGTTCCCAAGTTAAGATTTTGAATCCCAAAATGTGTATTGACCCGAAAATGAGCAAACGGCATGGGACTTCCTCGAAACAAACTCTCGGGTTCGGTCATGCGACGACCCGAAAAGTTGATCGACCTATCTGAAAGTGGCCAAATCCATAGGACGTGTGCCCCAAATTAGCCTGGCGAAGGACCCAACCATATACAGTTGTGAATACCGCAATTGTGAATACCATTTTCGCGCGCTCCCTATGTGGCCACGGCTTCCCGCCGGAGCCCGACATGCTGAGGAACACGTTCGTGGCCGTCTTCGCAAGCGCCGACGACGACAAGGACGGCGCCCCTCTGACCGAGGAGCAGAGGCAGGAGAGGGCGTTGAGAGCCATGAAGGAGGAAGTGGCGTTGCGCGTCGGCAAGGCGGAGTCCGACGCCCAGGCGCGGTTGTTGAAGCAGCACAACTTTGGGGCCACGATCCTCGTGAGGAGGGCGCCGAACTGGCCCGGGGCCGCCGTGCGAACCCTGCCATTGGCGCTCTCGGTGGAGCTCCCCATGGGGCCACGATCCTCGTGAGGGGTGTGCCGAAGCGGCCCGAGGCTGCCATGCGAACCCTGCCACTGGCGCCTTCGGTGGAGCTCCCTATGGGGCCGCGATCCTCGTGTTGGGTGTGCCGAACTGGCCCGAGGTCGCCGTGTGAACCCTGCCATTGGGGGCTTCGGTGGAGCTCTCCATGGGGCCACGATCCTCGTGAGGAGGGCGCCGAACTGGCCCGAGGCCGCCGTGCGAACCCTGCCACTGGCGCCTTCGGTGGAGTTCCCTATGGGGCCACGATCCTCGTGACGGGTGTGCCGAAATGGCCCGAGGCCGCCACGCGAACCCTGCCACTGGCGCCTTCTGTGGAGCTCCCCATGGGGCCACGATCCTCATGGGGGGTGTGCCGAAATGGCCCGAGGCCGGCGTGCGAACCCTGCCACTGCGGGGTTTCGGTGGAGTTTTCTATGGTGCCAAGATCCTCGTGAGGGGTGCGCCGAATTGGCCCGAGGCCGCCATGCGAACCCTGCCACTGGCGCCTTCCGTGGAGCTCCCTATGGGGCCACGATCCTCGTGAGGGGTGTGCCGAAATGGCCCGAGGCCGCCATGCGAACCCTGCCGCTGGCGCCTTTTGTGGAGCTCCCCATGGGGCCACGATCCTCGTGGGGGGTGTGCCTAAATGGCCCGAGGCCGCCATGCGAACCCTGCCACTGGAGCCCTTTTGTGGAGCTCTCCATGGGGCCACGATCCTCGTGAGGGGTGTGCCGAAATGGCCCGAGGCCGCCCTGCGAACCCTGCCGCTGGGACCTTCGGTGGAGCTCCCCATGGGGCCACGATCCTCGTGAGGGGTGTGCCGAAATGGCCCGAGGCCGCCGTGCGAACGCTGCCACTGGGACCTTCGGTGGAGCTCCCTATGGGGCCACGATCCTCGTGAGGGGTGTGCCGACATGGCCCGAGCCCGCCATGCGAACGCAGCCACAGGAACCTTCGGTGGAGCTCCCCGTAGGGCCACGATCCTCGTGAGGGGTGCACCGAAATGGCCCGAGGCCGCCATGCGAACGCTGCCACTGGGACGTTCGATGGAGCTCCCCATGGGGCCACGATCCTCGTGAAGGGTGTGCCGAAATGGCCCGAGGCCGCCATGCGAACGCAGCCACTGGAGCCTTCGGAGGAGCTCCCTATGGGGCCACGATCCTCGTGAGGGGTGTGCCGAAATGGCCCGAGGCCGCCGTGCGAACGCAGCCACTGGAACCTTCGGTGGAGCTCCCCATGCGGCCACGAAGCGCTGTACTGGGTGGGTGAAACGCAAGGAAGAGGGGGAGGAGGGAGGAGGGAGGGAGGACGGGGAGAGAGAAAGGAGGGGGAGGAGGAGCGGGAGCGGCGGGAACGCGGGGCACCGTCTCTTCAAAACGAGGACCCAACACCACAGGATGGTTGGGAAAAAATCGGGCCCACTTCAAACGACCCGAAAATGTGCGAACTGCCCAGGACTTTTCGCAAAATCATCGATCTCGAGGTTTTCGGGTCCACTCCGAAGAAACCGAACATGGGCACACCGCCTAGAACATCTATGGCAAACGGTTTCTCGGCGGTTCCGGGCCTCGTCCGAAGGAGCCGCCGATGGGCCGACCGTTCAGGACTTCCTGCACAAGAAACGGTCTCCCGGGTGAGCCATTGTCAATAGGGAACGCGCCCCGCGCGGGATCGGGGTTCGCACGGGGGCGCGAATGCTCGCGCCCGTCCAGGAGGCACGCGCTGCCGCGCCCTTTCAGCATAGCGTTTGCTCTGCATTCGCGCGGCGCCGTGCCTCCCAAATCGGAATAAACTTTCGGAACGCCGATGTAACTACCTCTCCCTACTCGCCTTTTCCCGCTCCTCTCCCGTAAGGGGGGGAAGAGGACCACGATCACGACGACGAACGACGTTCCGACGGCGACGGACGATGGCGTTGACAGTGACGTCGACGGCGTCGGCGTCGGCGCCGACGCGGACTTGTTACGGTCGTCGACGCCGAACGGCTAGTTCGAAAGGGGGCGTCCCTCGTGGCCCCGGCTGCGCGCGCCCGTGGCCACCCCCTCTGGGGCCCTCGGGCTCTCCGCCGTAGCCGCAGCCAGTCTGCGGGCAGCCGCGGACAACCCTGCGCGGCGAGGCCGTCGGGCCACCAGGGGCACAGCGTGCAGGACGGTGGGCGGGGGGAGGCTGGCACCGGTCATCAGACGCACCGTTAGGGGGTGGGGACGCACCGTTAGGGAGGGGGAGGTCAAAGTCAAACTGTGCCCTGGTGCGGAGTCCGTCTTACTCCTGCTCAATCCAGCTTAATCCCGTTCAATCCCGCTCAATCCGCGGCCTAATCCGACGGAGCAGCCCCCCAATGGAGCTATATCTTCCCTCATCCTTCTGACGAAGACCTCCCAGTAGTTGCTTCCTATGGGATAGGCGCAGGGGGGACACATCGACCCCCAATCGCCCATTGATCACCAACAGGGGCCTGATGGCCCTACCGTGGGGTACGTGAAGAACGGTGACAAAGACCGACAGCAGGTTCTGTCCATTCATGTTGAACACGGCTCGTTGTTGATGTCGCCGCGGACATGTTCCATTTGAGACAAACTCGCCTGTCCAGTAGGGGCCGCTGTGGCTTTGGACACCGTTTGCTGTGTGTCATCGTACCCATTTTCTCCGTGCCCGTTTCGGGCGTGCCAGGTCGAGGCTGACAGTTTCCATACTGCCGCTTTGGGTCAGGGCGGAGCCCCTCCAGGTCGTCCAAAGCAAGAGCGGCTCCTTCAGCGAGCCTTTTTTGCAGAGCGAGGGCACACAGCGCCCCTCCTGATAATATTCAGCGCTCCTTTTCCCCCTCTTGAGCTAGCCTGGTTTCCAGCTCGTCTTGGAGTTTTTTTCTGGCTACGCTCCACAGTCAGGGTGGCCGTCTATCAATAGGTGTGTGTGTGTGTGGTGTGTGTGTGTGTGGTGGGGGGGTTGCTCCGACAGCGCATATCGTTCGATATTGCCGATTCCAGACCACTGGTGGCATTCAGTTTTGGTTTGCCCGCGCTGGGGTCGCCTCCGCGTCGACGCGGCGCGAACCTGACGTATAAGGGGAGACATATTGGAAAGTTTTCGGATGTCTTCTGAGTTTGTATTCGGGGACGGGGAAGGGGTACTCCGAGTTTCTCAATGAGCGTCGGGGGATCGTCATCCCCGCCGACAGCACCACATCGCCCCCTTCCCTTCGCGGGCAGCCACCGCGCGCCGAAGGCGCTCCGACCCCATGCGCGGCGCGACGACGAGGCGAGGTTGACCCACGTCGGGGGGGGTACCCACCACGCTTATTAAGAAACCCAGAGTCTGCGTTTCGTCGTGTTCTTTTGCGTTTTAGGGGACATTTGGAGGCATCCAGGGACCTCCAGAGACTTCCGGGGACATACAGGTTTATGTGGGAGGTGGGGAACGAACGACGGGGAAGGAGGAGGAGGAGGAGCAGGATCTAAGGAGGAGGGAGATGTGAGGAGGCGGGAGATGATGAAAGACAGGGGAGGGGCAGGGGAAGGGGCAGGCAAGGAGGGGACGGGGGGGGAGGCGCGGAGGGGGAGGGAGACATGGAGGAGAAGGACGCTTACGTGGAGGAGGAAAAGGGTAGTGAAGGGGCAGGGATGGGAGCGATGAGATGTGAAGAGGAGGAAGGTGGAGAGGGAGGCGGAGGGCAATGTGGAGCTGGAGGGGGAAGGAGGACAATGAAGTGAAGGACGAGGGGGAGGAGGACGGAAGGAGAGGTGATGCGGAGAAGGGGGAGTCGGAAAGGTGGGCGGGAGGAGAGGTTGGGGATGAGTAGCAGGGGGGAGGCGGAACAGGGATGAGCAGATGAGAGGGAGGATGGAGATTGAGAGCGGGGAGGCAGAGGAGGAGGAGGAGGAGGAGGAGGAGGCGGCCGCGTCAAGGTCCCCGACCTCGAGGGATTCGAGCTCAGGCCATATGTCTCCCGCAACACGCCGGTGATCGGCAACGCGCACCCGTACTGGAGGACTGATCTGCACGTCCCCCAGTCTTCCCGCCTCCGCTTCCTCCGCGTCCTCCTCCTCCTCCTCCTCCGCCTCCTCCGTATTCTCCGTAACTTCCCCCCCTCCGCCGCCCGCAGTTGCCCCAGAGACCCCGCGAGCTAGCGCACCACTTGGTTGTAACTTCGACAGAGACGCCACGAGCGTCGCCGCCGCTGCTGCCTCTGGCCTTCTCCACCCCCTTGGCCCCCGCCTTCGTCTTCTTCCGTCCCTCCTCATGCCATCGCCCCCCTGCTCTTCCCTCGGGAGTTTTGACCAAAGGGGACGGGGGAGGGGAGGGTCCTCCAACGTCTTAAACAAACAGCGTCAGGATGGATATCCTTCACATCTTTCGGTACCAGGGTGCCTTTAGGGCCGTGGGACCAACAGAAGATTATCGGGGATGCAAGACTGGCCCCAGCGGAATGGGTTGGGACTCGTGATGGCCGCCTCATAACAAGAAGCCACGGCGTAGGAGGTCTGGAGCGTCTCTCGTGCAGGGAAGCTAGAAACAACTGGCTGGGGCCAGCCTTTCCTTTTCTCAGCCTTGTCCAGTGCCCCTCGAGTTCCGCCCAACCCCTGGACGGCGTACATCGCATCTGCATTGGCTTCGCTCCAGCCCAGTCTTTGCCACTTCCACTACTTATGCAAGTTCTAATGTCGACTTGCCACAACTACGGCGCAGAGGGTTCGATGGAGGCGAGGGAGGGGTGATAGCGTGTCGGCAGCTCGCTCAGGCCGGCTTTGGGCTTTTGGCGGCGGCAAGGTTCCTTCGTGTGGGGAATTGTGTTCCGTCTCTTCCTCCTCCTCCTGTTCTTTCTCCTCCTGGTCCTGACAGGAGAAGGACCGAGAATGAGAAGGGAGAGGAGGTAGGAAGAGGAGGGGAAGGAGGCGGTAGGGGGTCTTGGAGGCGATGCTTGAGGGGGAGGACGGGGTCAGGAGGGAGGAGGAGGAGGAGGAGGAGGAGGAGGAGGAGGAGGAGGAGGAGGAGGAGGGAGGAGGAGGAGCAGGAGGAGGAACAGGATGAGGGACAACCAAGAGGTGGGTGGTGGAGTAGAAGGAAGATACTGACATCGCCCTTGGAGCGAGTCGTTGTCGAGCACGGTCATCAAGTCCGTGGCATGTGGCCCGGTTCGACCCCCGCCGCTCTGCGCTCTTCCCGACGCATGGGCGCCTCCGGCGCCGCAGGCCCGGCACGCCAGCTGTGTGAGCCGTTTTTCTGATGGAGCGAGATGAGGAGGAGGGGGAGGAGGAGGAGGAGGAGGAGGAGGAGGAGGAGGAGGAACGGGGGGAGCAGGGACATGTCACAGAGAACAAGGGGGGCGTCGAGGACCCTCTGAGCGCATAAGGGGCTGTGACAAGGGGGGCGGCCTTCCGCGGGAGGAAAGGGAGGGGTCCTTGGGAGCCCTCTCCCGCCTTCCGGGAGTCTCTCTTCCAAAAAACAGTTGTTCTTAAGGCAACGGCCCCAATCCATGCCCCCACGGCGCGGGGAGGGGGTGGGGAGGATGATAGTTGTTCGTAGACGTCTCGAGTGCTTCCCATCGCTTGCATTAGAGGCATACCGATGCTGTATGCCAGGCTCCGCCACTTCCTCAGTAGCCCGCTCCGCCCCCCCCCCGTCGGCTCCGCCCCCCTTGTGTTGGGGCGCGCCGCGTGGGCAGCAGCAGCAGCAGCAGCAGCAGCAGCAGCAGCAGCAGCAGCAGCAGGGAGCATCGCAGACAGAAGGGGAGGAGCTTTGCGGCGGCGACGGACGCCGCCGCCCCCCTTCTCCCCCCCTCCCCGCTTCGCACCTCGGCACCGACGCTTTGCTCCTCCGCTCCTGGTCAGCCGAAACACGGAGGCTCAGCACAGGCGTGCCTTGGTGAGGGCTGGGCTTGTTCTCGTGCTGTCGCGTCTCTCCTCCGACTCCCTCTGGGGTGCGACATTCGCGTATTGCTCCACTGCGTTGCGCGGGTATCTTCTGACATATTCCATCGGCGGCAGCCGCAGGAGGGGGTGCGGGCAGGCAGGGAGGGGATGCGGCCGCGACGGCCGCCCCATCGCCCAGCCGCCCCCGCGCGCAGGACCGGGCGCTTCAGGCCGTGAGCCCGGCGGGTGTCTTGGCGGGGCCCCCTCACGCCAGAGCCGAGGCCGAGAATGTTTTGCCTTCGGCAGCGGGGGGACAGTAGTCGAAGAGGAACATCTGGCATAAACATACACTACTCACACTCCGACTCACTCGCACAGAACACTCACACGGACGTTCAGGTTCACCTCGATTTGTGAGGATGTCTCGAGCGATGCGTTGATTTCGCGTTCCCGAGGGGTCAGGGGCACCAGGGGGTACTGCACGGGTTGGTTTCAGCACCCCAAGGGCGAGCCGCAAGGGCGTGCTGCACGGGCCCGTTCGCGCCCAGATCGTGGGGGTGTCAGGCGGTTTGCCTGTTTGGTGGCTTGGGCGTTTCTGATGTCAGAGCAGATCGTGAGGCACTGGTTTCAGCACCCCAAGGGAGCCACCAGGGTGTGTTGTTGCACTGGCCTGTTCGTGGCCAGAAGGTGGGGACGTCTCCGGTTGTTTGCCTGTCTGGTTGCTTGGATGTTTGTTTTCACGCCAGATTGTGAAGATGTCTCGAGCGAGGCGCTGGTTGCAGCACCCCATCCTAACGATGTGCTTTGAAAGCAGAACATGTCCTAGCTACCAAGTAGGCAACCCGCCTGAGACGTCCCCACAATCTGGGCGAGAGCGGGCCCATGAACACCCCCTGGCGGCGCCCCCCCCTTGGCCAGACTGGGGATGTCTCGAGCGAGGCGCTCGTTCGATGGCTTGGACGTTTCTGCATTCAGAGCAGATCGTGAGGATGCCTCGAGCGAGTCAGACGGACCGCTGGTTTAGGCATCTCCTTACCCCGTTCCAGCGTGGCAGGCATGCAATTTGTGCACTCCAAGGGGGAGCCGCGAGGGATCGCTCAGTCGCCACAGGCTAAGATTGTCTCACTTCAACGCACACAGAAGGAACTGCCAAGAAGTGATATAACTGATATACACATACAGGGCTATCCGCGTCGAGTAACTTCTCCGAATTAGCGGGGGGGGGATCGAGCACTGCAGGAAAGTAGTCCTACAGGTACTGTCTGAACTGCTACTCCAGGCATCAGAGAGTGTTGAAAAGGTACACGTTTCTTCATCCACCGCCTTCCCCCCCCCCACCCAGTAACGTGACGGACAAAGTGGCGCATCCGTTCCTGCAGCCCCGTGGGCCCTTTTCCTGTTCTACTGGTTCACCTTGGTTTTCACGCTTTCAGCGCCTGCAGCCCTGGCTTCGGTCCCTGGGTGTGGCCGTGATACCGTCCCGAGTCCACCGCCAGGTCACTTCAGCGCCGATTGGCCGCACCGGCGCGCTCATCCTGAAACGCTTCAGCCGTGAGTGCTCTCCCCCTCCCACCTGTGCTCTGCGGCCGCTCCTTACCCCCACCCCGAGCGCTCTCATCGTGCAACTGGACAATTCGTTTGTCGAGTACCCCCGACAATTCGAGTCTTCGTGCGGATTGCTTCTGCCGTTTTGCGACGAAAAAATATGGAACGCCCGAGATTGGCCGCGGAGCGCAGGTGCGATAGGGTGGTGCCTCGTCGACGTGTCGGCGACCTCAGCGCGGGGAGTTCAGGATTGAACGCCGCCAGTGGCCTCACATCGGCGGGTATCAAGCCATCCGCGCTTTCGGACAGTCGCGATCGTTCGAGGTTGAAAGATTGGCGCGAGGTCAGACATGCCAGAAATCAGCGCCAATAACGTCACGACATGGACCTGCTGCAACGAGGATCGAGGATCGATGGAGGCCTTGGACGCCTTGTGGCCTTTTTGGGAGCCTCCCGGTCGCTTACCGTGGCCACAGGTGTATTCCCCACGAACTGCCAGAACGCACCCATGCAGAGGTCCAGGGGTCGATGTTGAGGAGGTAACGTCGGCTGTTGCCCACGGTGTTTCCTGGCCCACGGTGTCGCCAGTTTTCCCATAGAGGGGGGCCACTGCCTCCAGATCACCCCTCGCACGGCGCTAAAAGCTGGGGACGATACAGGCCTACAGCTTCCGATAAGGGGGGTCAGCCTCAGCGGGGGTCCAGGCCGCTGTGGTTGACCCGGGTGTGGGACCTCAGCGGAGCCCCCCTCCCCCCTGCTTACGCTGGCTGGGTTTGGGAGCTGTTTTTTGGTAGCAGGCCCGGGCTCGCGACGTCCAGCGGCATTGCCATGGGCATTCATTGACAAGTATGTTTTCGATGCCCGCCGAGAGTTACCATGTTATGTTTTTACCGGGCATCGCAGCGGCGCCAGCGTCGGGAAGGGTTGCGTTCGCCGGGTCGCTGGCCAAAGTGCCCGCTGGTGGAGTCCCCGTTGGAAGGGCATTGAGACGTGCCCCTGGCTGGCCAGGAACGATCGCTGACCAGTGCCAGCCCGCCCCCAAAGGTCGAGAGGCGGCCGACGGCGCTCGCAGGGGGAGGGGCCTCTGAGGAGGCAAGGGTGGGGCTTTTTCTGGCATCGTCACAATCCAAATTGGTACATAAAAGATGATGACGAAGACGGACAGCGGCTCCTGCTCGTTTTGACCAGGACTCGCTGCCGGCGTCGCCGCGGAAGGTGTCCATTTGAGACAGAACGGCGTCTGCCCAACAGCGACCCGCGCCCGCTGTCGTTTGTTTTGGACAACATTTGCTGTTGGGCATCGTTTCTATTTTCCTCGTACGTTTCGGGCGTGGCAAAAGGAGGCGGCCAAGAAAGCCTCTTGGAAACATCCGATCCGCAGGGGTGGCCTCTTGGCAGGCCGCCCTCCTCGCCCCGCCCCCGACCAAGATCCGCTTGGAACAGGTCCCTGGACCACTCCTGGAGTCCATCCTGACACGTTTTCCAAGCCGCTTCCGGCCGTGGCGTCCGCGACTCCCAAACTTTCGAGCTAAACTTGAAACGCATTTTCGTCGACAGCACTTCTGCGCGTCCCGCTTCTGTCCGCAAGTGAGAGGCAGGCGCGTGACTGATCGAGATGGCAATGCCCTGGCCGCCAGTCTTGGGGGCGCGGCGTGTTTTGGGGGCCCCGCCCTGAGCGACGATCGCCCCCTGTCCGCTCGGCGATAGGCAGGCGAGAGCTCGCCAGGAAAAGGTTCGCGGAGGGTGCCAGCACACCATCAAGGCCGGCTTGGGTTCTCGGCCTTGCTGGGTAGTGATGATGTATGAGTGCCTCATGCGGAGAAGAGTGCGGCGGGAGAGGACGTTGTTCTTGTTCTCTTCTTGCTGCTCCTCCTCCCCAAGCGCGGCAGTTTGGGCTCACAGTGAAGACGCGGCGAGGGGGTTTGTATGTTCTTTTCTGAGCCCGACGCGGTCCCACCTTGGTGCGACTTGCTGGCAGATCCTTTCTCTTTACCGCGGCTCGGCACAGAATGGCCTGATCGGGTCAGGCCTGTATTGCCCAGGGGCGGTGGCCACTCAGGTGACAGGCTGAGCACAGTGCATCGCACTGGGAGGTTTGCCACGCCGGAGGTCCGCGAGTGGCCGCGCAGCAAGGCGTTGGCTCAGGCGCCCATCGCGAACAAGATGGCGGCACTGGCGATAATGCTGAGTCGCAATATGTCCCGTGCCGGTTTCAATGTTCTATACATCCTCAAGCGAGTGAACGGTGTAAACTGCGGATGCAGGCTAATTGCCATGAATGCCTGCGACGGCGTGGCGACGGCGTGGCTTGCGAAGCTGAGTGGAAGCGCCCGCGAAACGCCGGCAGAGCCACATGGCGTTCGCTGGTGGACTGGGCTTTGGGTTAGCAATACTCGGGCTGCCCACTCAGGACAGCGTCGAGGACGCCATCGCGGATGGGGAGGTTACCAACAAGTTGGAGAAAACGGTGCATATCAACAAGAATCTATCAGCGGCGTGTGGTAGCGCGCCCCGCGATGACGCATGGGGGTGGCCCGAGGGTTCACTGAGTGGCGAGCTTTGATGGGTGGGTGGATGTTTGTTGCTTGTATGTATGCATGTACACATTTATGCATGCGTGCATACATGTACATATGTATAGATGTATGGGTAAATGACATTTGTATGGTTGGCTGTATGTATGTCTGTCCGTATGGTGTTCTGCCTGTCTGTACGTATGTATGTACGTATGTATAAACATGTACGTACAAGTAGGTATGTCTAAGTATGTATGTATATATGTACTTACGAGATAACCAATTCAACCCTGTCGTTGCATGACGCAGCCTGCGCAGGGCTCGAGCACGCGGTGCCTGAGCCGTCGCGGGGCGTTGCTGCGGCAACTGCCCGGGTGTTGCCATGAAGCGTCCCTGGCCCAAGGCTCAAGGTGTTCCCCAGGATCTCCAGGGAGGCCGAAAGTCTCAGAGGCGCCATTATTGAGCGAAAAGCTAGGGACACCGTCGGCCAGGGCCATTTCTAGCAGCACCCGAACTGTTCCATTCCCTTCCGCTCCTCCGCGCTTCTCTCGGCATGGACGTGGACTACGACGAGGACGCCGCGGCGGCGCCCTCTGGGCGCAAGGTGAAAGGCCGGGGGGCGGCGGAGGACGACCGCTACGCCGGCAAGGCGGGCCAGTTCGACACGCTCGGCGACGACGGCGAGAGCGGTGGGCCCGCGCGGTCCATCGAGGGCTGGGTGATCATCTGGAAGAGCAGGAAGCGACGTGGGCACAGACTTCGTGGCAGGGGTCGACCTAGACTGTGTTTTGGTGATTTCGCGGACCGTCTTCGTTTCGATTTGCGTTTCTCAGCGACGGCGGATTGAAGACAGACCGAGGGACGGCGAACGCAAAACGAACGAAAAACACCGTTGAGGTCGATCCCTGCCTCGTGGGCAGGAGGGGGCGGCCTGGACCGCCCTGGGGCGGTCGAGAGGAGAGGGGCGGCCTGCGGAAAGCGCCGCGCCGCCCTCGGGCTCTCCTGCGGGGCCCTGCTGCCCGGCCTCGGCCCTCACTCGCCCTGGGCTGGCGCGGCAGGGCGCCGCGCCGTGGCGCGAGAGGTCCGCGCAGATCTCATCTCCTGGGTCAGTTCTGGGCCCCTCCTCCTCCGGGCCTCCCAGAAGGGGATCGCGCCGCATCGACGACGCGGCTCGGTGCGGAGCCCGATTTTCTCCACCACGACGCGGCCGCGGCGTCGCCGACGTCGGCGATGCATTCGCGATGCGGCGCGATCCACTCTATCTACTCGGACCCCATTTAGGAGGCCTCCATCTCCCCGCGCTCCCAAACGCCGCCGCCCCCAGCGCGCTCCGCGCGCCAGGGAGGGAGTGCGGGGAGAGAGGGGTCCAGCGCCGACCGAAGAAGGCCGCTCGAGCCTCGGAAAGTCTGTGCTTATGCAGTTTTGAATGGTCTTCTATCGTCGTTTCTGGGGTGCACGAAGAGGCTCAGGAGGACGACGTCTTCGAGGCCTTCGCCGAGCACGGGGACATCAAGAACCTGCACTTGAATCTGGACAGGCGGACCGGCTTTGTCAAGGGCTACGCGTTCATCTGGGGAGCCAGAGAGAGGGCACGTGCCATTTCTCGTCGACGTGCTTCTCCCCCGAGTTACAGTATGTCTTATGCAAACGATTGCCCTAACCGGGGTTGGTGGGAGTATTGGCCAGGGTCCGCTGGGGTTTGGGGAGGTTTGGCTAGGAGTTGGCCGATGTGCTGTCTGGGGCAACTCGTCGGCTGTAAGTTTCAATAATTCATGTGCATCTGTATATGTATAGATACATATTACACATTGTTATAGAAGATCGAATGAGAGAGAGGTCAGCAGAGGGGGCGGGGACGCAAGTAGCGGACCCCAGGCATGCGACGTTTTGATTTTCCAATGTGGGGTCCCCAGAAGTCCCGGCCATTTCCCCATGGCCGGGTTTTCATGCCGAGTTGTTGTTCGACCGTCCCCGGGCTTGAGAGGGCCCCAGTGGCCGTAAACATCCAAACTTTTTCATGACGCGAGAATCTTTGTGACGGGCGGGCGGAGGGGGCGTGTCTCTCTCTCCAGAGCTCCCTGTCGTCGAGTACGAGACGAAGCAGGAGGCCGAGGCGGCGATCAAGGGGATGGACGGCACAACGCTGCTGGAGCAGCGGCTCGCGGTCAACTGGTCGTTTGCCAAGCCGGGCGGCCGCCGCCGCCGCAAGTGAGCGCTCCTCCGCCGTTGACCCGTGCCGCCCAAACGGGGCTGGAGTATCTCCGACGATTTGTTGTTTGTTCCATCGGCGTTTCTTCCTCGATTTGGGCCCCTGGGGCCTTGTGACAGGCCCGAGGACCATCAACATATATCTGGTGCGAAAAACTGGCCCCGAGGAAGGGGTCAGACAAGTCGAAGGATGTCTGGGTAGGGTCAGATGATCACGCCGCGTTGCTGGTGCATTCTCGATGTGGCGCTACACAGAGCCTGGCGTGCTCCGTCAGAACCTCGCTGGTGCATGGCCGATGCGCCGGCAATTCGGTGTGCATTTCCCGACTCTGATCTATTCTGGCCCCGTCTTTGCGGCCTCCAGTCGAGTCGTCCAGCAGCTTGATGTTGTCAATCCATGGGCCCACGGATGTGATGACGAGGCGCGCAGAACGAGAAACACATACTTATGATGTGCTTGTTGGTTGGGATAATGGGGGAGGGAGGGAGATTAGGATGGGGAAGGACGAGGACTGGGATGATGAGTAGATGAAGCCGTTTTGAAGTTGTGGCAATTGTTTGTGAAGTGATCGGGTTCTGCTGCTGTCATTCACAACTGCAGAATACAGTTGCTTCCTCTTCCCGCTGGTGTCCCCATGCTTTCTCTATTGAGAATCATCGGTGCTCGTGCCCCATTAGGTTATGAAGTATGGCATGACACCTGAAGCTCTGTCACTCGATCCTGGCTGTAACAACATGAGCGGCTGCCACGTAGGAGGTTCTCGCATTGTTCGACCCTCAAGGGATTCGCACCTCCGCCCCAGAAAATCCTGAAGTGTCCCATGGATCATGCACCTCTAACTCCCGTGCTCATGAATGTTTCGAGGGTGCTGCTCCTCGGAGCCCCGAGTGTACAAAGAGTATACCTCATCCTTTGGCTGCAGTCATTCCTCCTCGCTGCCTCCCTCCTTCCCCCTCCACCCTCATTCCTTCATCTGCCTTCATCGACATGCTGCGTTCCAGAAGTAGGAAGCCTTCGGATGTTTCGGAGGTCACCGGAGGCCTTCGGCGGCCCTCCGAGACCCTCAGGTTCTCGGCGCCTTTGGCTGTCCTCGCGAGTTCTCGGAGACCCTAGACTGGGAGGTTCTCGGAGACCTGCGGAGGCCCCCGGAGATCTCTGGAGGTTTCGGGGGTCTCTCGTGCTTTCGATCCGCCGTTTTAACCAGGGAGGACATCCGTAGCCTTCTGGGCTCGGGGCCTCACCCTCTCTCTCTCTGCCCCAGGGCCTTTCACCTACGCCGTGTGTTGGCGTGGGGTGGAAGCGAGGTCGGGCGAGGACTCCTGCCAAAGGGCCGCGTTCACCCCCCTCCCCAGGACCCCAGGAGGACCCTCTCTCTTTCTCTGCGTTTGCTTTGTGGCATGCCGCGTGTCCATCTCAACCAGGAGGCCGGGGCGTTCGAGTCGGGCCTGGGCATGTCGGTAGTATGGGCTTGCTGCCCTCCCATTCCCGCCCCGCGCCCCCTTTCGAGAGTGCACGCTTCTCCCTGAGCCGACGTTTACTGGTCTGCTGACGGACGCCCACTGGGCCCCGCAGCTCCTTGCTACAGAGGTTTTGCCCGCAGCCTCAGCATGCCACCTCGCTGTGAAGTCCTGCATCCATCCATTCTTCCACTGCCTTTCCTTCCCCATCCGTTCCTTTAACTTTTTTTTCAATTCTCCCACATCCCTTCTCCCACCTCAAACTCGCCCCCCGTTCTCTTCCTTCGCGTCTTTGCCTCACTCCTCCCGTCCATCTCCTAGCCGGACCGCCCGAGCTAGGGTCCGCCTGGCCCGAACCGCCCACCCGAATCAGGGTCCGCGCGACACAACCCGACCGCCAAATTCTTGACGTTTCGCGTATCCCCACCAGTCCTCTGCCCGCGGAGCCCCAGCTTCCACCTCACGGATGCCTGTTCTGATGCTGCGACGGTTAGCTGGCGCTGTCAGAGTACTTTCCTGCAGGACCGCGTCACCAGCCTCTGTCTGCTCATACCCGTCAGACTCCCTGGACTGACTTTCCTGCCTGGAGATCGTTCCCCACATTACTGTCGTCTCGTTACGATCACGGCGGGAACGCCCACGCGCCATTTTGGCTGCGCTGGCTCCCCTCGGTGGCTGATTTCTCAGACTCTCTGGGTTTGCCTTTTGCACGTTTCCTCTCGGGCTGTCCTGGCAGACTCCCTGGGATTGCACGTCCGCTGGCCTCTCAGACGCCCTGGGTTGCCGCTGCTCGCCGCCTGATCCGCGACTCCGCGCGCGCCCGCTAGTTAGTCACGGCCGCAGCCCGACCGTGACCGCTCGCCGTTGGCGCCTCCGCCTGCGGCTGTAAAAAAGAAATCCCCACCAGTGCCTCGATCTTCCGCCCTCTGGACTTTTCCTTGCGGGCCGCGAAGCACAAAAAGATATCCCCACCAGTCGACGCCATGCATAGTTGCACGCTGGCAGTTCGATTCAGTTCAGCTGCCCTTGCCACTCGCCGGTCCGGCGCTGAGTTGCCGCGTGAGGCCGCGGCTCGCCGCTTTAAGCGTGGCGTGTCTACGCTGCTTTAGTCTAATTCGTCGCTGCGTGGTCCGCTTGAACCTGACTCGCCGCCGGCACGCTCGCCCGCGGCCGCTGACAAAAAATATCCCCACCAGTCCGTACCCCCTCTGGCTCAAGCCGCTCTGGCCCAAGCTGCGAGTCGTCAGGAGGTTTCTGCCCGTTCTTTTCCCTTCAGTTGTCTCGTTTTTCCCCTTCCACATTTCCGTGATGAGCGCGTGGCTTTCTGGCGGGGCCTGGTCCGAGTGGCAGGACCCACGAGGCTGGCACAGTCAAGGTTGGCACAGTCAGTATGGTGCCCCCACATGATACTCAGCGAAGTTGGCACAGACTGCGAGCCCGAGGTCGTCGCTTTTCTGTGTCAGCATGGTCTTGGGATGTATGCGTCGAGCCTCGCTGAGCATGGCTTTGAGCACATGGCTGAGGTACGGCTTATGGGTGAGCGACACATGCGCGGCATCGGCTTACGAACTGGTCAATGCGAACTTTTTGCTACAGCACTGGGCCAGCACACTGCAACTGAACAGGGAACCTGTGTCGACACTCTCCTTGAACCGCCTGGTTTGCGTGGCTGTCCAGCAAAGCTGCCCGGCGGCATGACCGCGACGCAGACCCAGCGCACCGACGGGTGGACTGGCGCCTCGCCGACGCAGGGCGCTTCCCATGAGACTGACTTTGCTCCTCCCTCCCTGCCCATAATTTTTCGAGATGCGACGGCTAGTCGCCTACACCGGGGAAGTTGCGAAATTGGTCGCCTCCACCGGGGAGAGGTCGACGGTGCTCGCGAATCGCAGGAGGAAGAGCAGGAAGAAGTCAACGAGGACCGTGCCGACCGTCCAACACAACCCACTGGCAACGCGACCTCTTGGCGCATCCAACCGCCTCGGATTCCAACGGACTCTGCGACGGTCAGTCGCCGCCACCGGGAAGAGTGCGATGATAGTCGCGAGTCGCAGGGTGAGGGGCAGTGAGAAGACATCGAGGACTTTGCCGAACGTCCAACACAACCCGGTGGCAACGCGACCCCTGCCTCGGATTCCAACAGACTCTGCGATGGTCGTTCACCTACACCGGGAAAAGTGCGAAATGGGTCGCGAGCCGCGAGCCACAGGAAACAGGGCAGGGAGAAGACAGAGAGGACCTTGCCGACCGTCCAACGCAACCCGCCGGCAAAACGGCCTCTGGGAACACCCATTCGCCTCGGATTCCAGTAGCCTCTGCGACGGTCAGTCGCGTCCACCGGGAAGAGTGTGAAGATAGTCGCGAGTCGCAGGGTGAGGGGCAGGAAGAAGGCAGAGGACTTTGCCGACCGTCCAACACAACCCGCGGGCAACGCGACTCCGGGGAACAGCCGGCCGACTCGGGTTCTAACAGACTCTGCGATGGTCGTTCACCAACACCGGGAAGGGCGCGAAATGGGTCGCGAGCCACGGGAGACGGGGCAGGGGTAAGACAGAGAGGACCTTGCCGACCGCCCAAAACAACCCGCTAGCGACACGACCCCTGGGAACATCCAGCCGCCTCGGATTCCAATGGCCTCTGCGACGGTCAGTCGCTTCCACCGGGAAGAGTGCGAAGATAGTCGCGAGTCGCAGGAGGAAGGGGGGCCCACCGCTGGGGGGGAGACCATCGAGGAGGCCGTCGAAGGAGCGGCGGAAGAGTCCCTGGAGGAGAAGTGCGACGCCTCACCCGACACCGCCCCCGACGCCCAACCTGACGCCCTACCCAACGCTCTACCCGAGGCCTTGCCCGACGCCCAATCCCACGGCCAGCTCCTCGGCCAGCCCGACGGCCTGCCCGACGGCCTGCCCGACAGTGAAGCCGCCCGCCAGACGGCGCCGGGAAGTTTCACCGCGCCCGCGCGTCAGTTGTCCCCTGACGCGCGGGGCGACGAAGCCATCCTTCAGTTCGTTTCGAGGAGCCCTTGCGCCCCCGTTCGTCGCCCCCCCCCTGCCAGCGACTCGATGCGGACGGGCGCCTCTACTAGCAACCACGGGGCAATCCCTGCATCCCTGCAGAGCTCGCCAGACCCCCCCTCTCGGGTGGGGGCGCGGGCTCGACCTTCGAGACGGGCCGGCAGCCCAACCGGGGGGCGTCTTCGACGCGTCGGACCGGAAGTGAGTGGACGCCCAGGCTGTTCGCCGATCGCCAGCATCCAGGGCCACGGGGCTCCCACACTGGAGGGCCGCTCTATAAAGCCCCGGCCCACGACTCCCAGTGGGGGCCCCGCGGAGCGTCACCGCGCGAGACGTTCAGGGACCTTCAGGTCGCCCTGGGCGCGTCGTGCACAGCCGTCTGGCACGCCTTTGCCGAGCACCACGCCGCCCGTGGCACCGCGCGCGCGGTCGACCCGCGTCGGCGCGATCAGCGAACCTGCGTCCTCCCTCCTGACTTCATTTCACAGCCGCAGCTGCGATGCTCGGGCCATGAGCGACTCATTGGGCCTGGGTGTCGACTGGGCGCAGGCGCGTGGACAACGCCTGAGACGCCACGTCGGCGCGAACAGGGGGCGCCAGGCACCCCTGCGAGATGGTCGGGATCTCGCTGGCGCCGACGCTGGCCGTTCGCTGCAGGGCGGGATTCTCGGGGGAGGTCGGGCCCTTGACGTCGGAGGCGCGGCCGTCTGCCTCCACCCCCCCGCGTCGACGGCGTCTGCGCGCCGTCAGCACCCTACCAGAGAATCAGAGCGCCTGGCGTGCGCGTCAGTGTACACAGGGTTATGGCGGGCTCTTCCCCGTCTTCTCACACCGCGCGCCTGGCGCGCCCCCCCCCCCCCCCCCTCTCCTGCACCCCAGTGCTGCAGCGGTTTGCTGCCGCGCCGGCATCGAGCAGCACGTCGCCAACCAGTGCCGCTGGGACACGCAGCGCGGCAACGTGGCCTGGCACTCTCATCTCAGCTACCTGGGCCGCTTCGGCGCACAGGGCACATAGTCGATAAGAGCGTGCCGCTTTCCACGGGAGCTCAGTTAGCACTGTCAGGGTTGGCGTGGCCAGGGTTGGCACAGTCATGGCTGGCATAGTCAGCGCGGTCGGAAGTGGCACAGCCACGATTGGCATAGTCAGCAACAACTGCTTGAGTCAAGGTTCTACCGTTCTCCTCCTCTCCTCTCGCGCCGTGCCCGGCGCGCACTTCCTTTCCCCCCCTCCTGCGTCCTAGTGCTGCAACGGTTAGCTGCCACGCCGGGGTGCCCACTGTGCCTGGCGTGCACTTCCCCTCTGCTTTGTTTCACCGGGTTCATCCCGCGCGGCTGAGGTTGCCGCCAGCACCGCTGTCTGATGGTGCTCTGACGGCTTGAATTCCATGCAAGGCTTACACGGGGAATGGGCGGTCAGGTGGCCCCTGTCCTGCCCCTGGCTGGTGTCGGCCTCCACTGGTGACCGAGAGGCATCAGCGGGGTCTCGCTACGCTGCCGACCTCTACCGTGCAAGGATTTCGGCATGCGTGGTTCTGC